CCCTTAAACCCCTACAACCCTAAACCCCTAAACCCTAAACCCTAAACCCTAAACCCAAACCAATGAACCCCAACATGAGCTCCGTCCTAAACCCCAAAGCCCTCAAACAAATCCTGAAACCTCAAAAGCCCAACCCTTCCCAAACCCACACCCTAAAGGTCTTTGTATTGTTATTGCTATCACGCATATCCGTAGAAATCGCACGGCTTTGGAAGCCACAGACCTCACAGCCCTACACTTTACGCGCCAAAGCCATTACCCTAAACCCTAAACCCTAAACCCCTAAGCCCTCAGACCTCCAACTCCCGGAAAGAAGCCCACGTCGAAGCCGAGGTCGGTACCCTTTCCTCCTGAATGCCGGGGCCAAGCGCAGGCTCGGAGAATGCGGAGGGTTGAGGCTAATGTAGGAATTTGATTAAGAAACCCTGGCCCTAAAACCCCAATATGCTAGGGTTCGTACTAAGAACCCTGATAAAGGCCAAGGGTTTAATATTATGCATGCCTTCGGTTGCATCAATCCGCCGTAGAGCCACAGTCCTGTAAACAGGAAATTGATGTAAAGCCACATCCGTCCGTCGGGGCAGCTGTAACAGTGCGCGGGACTTTGCTAAGCTTGGTAGGCTTACAGGGTTAAGAATTTAGGATGCTCTACTGTAGGGCTCATGGCATGATGTTCCGAGGGTGGGATTTTGGGATTCAGCTGTCAAGGTCGGGGGTTTTGGGTTTTGGGATTTGTGCGGGTCCAGCGAACTAAGCCCTCAATCTCAAAGGGTCTAGGCCTAGGCTTGAGGTTTGAATACCAACGCGCGGCATGCATTGCCCAAACAAGGTTCAGGGCCTTTTTCGGGTAGAGTTTTTAAGCCGTTTTTAAGCTTCCTTGGACAACTATAGCCACTGCTTTGGCCAAAAAGGCCTTGTGGGACCCTGCGCTGAACCCGAAATCCTCGCTTCGACAGAGGAAAAGAGCCCGAACCAAAAAGCGCTTCAACCCTAAACCTTATCTTCTGTCATCTTCCTTGACTTGTGTGGCCTTCAAAGTTCCTGACCCGACGAGACTCAGCGAGGACCCCGAGGGCGCAAGATACACCAATCGTGATGACAAACGTGGAGACTTTAGGGTTTAGGGTTTAGGGTTTAGGGTTTAGGGTTTAGGGTTTTGGGGTTTCGGGACTTCAATAACATAGTAGCAATGTCCCAAACTCCTACACACCCTCAACCCTAAGCCCTGAACTGCGCCCCAGGTTTCGAAACTTTAGCCCTTCTTGAACCCTCAGAGTGGCTGTTGCAGGAACCCCGAGCCTCAAAGTAGTAGACCGAAACAACCCCCCAAACCTTAAACCCTAAACCCTAAACCCTAAAGCCCTAGCCCTAAACCCCGAAACCCCTAAACCCGGAAACCCCTAAAACCCCGGAAACCCCTGAACCCCTAACCCCTGAAACCCTAAACCCTAAACCCTAAACCCTAAACCCTAAACCCTAAACCCTAAACCCGCCCAGGCTTATCTCCTTCGATGTGGAGCTCCGGAGCCAGGTAGCCTCCCAGGAGCTTTGGGCCAAGGTTCTCCGAGCCCTGGCAGATGGTTTAGGGTTTAGGGTTTAGGGTTTAGGGTTTAGGGTCCTTGAAAGGGATCTTCCCAGGGCTTTATCTGGGTTCTATAGAGGTTGCTGGTCTATGATGAATATCACAGGCTTGATTGTTCGTCAGTCAGTCTGTCTGTCGGTCTGCCTGGCTGGCTGGCTGGCTGGCTGGCTGTCTGTCTGCCTGTATAGTACACATGTACATAAATGTAAACAGACATCGTGCATCTATCCTCCTGCTACAGTACTAACCGTGGCCACAACCAAGGGCCAAGCCCAAAGCACATGGTTCATCATAGGGGCCCGGCATGCACTTCAAGGTGGAAGATCACGCAGCTGGAATACCCTTCTGTAACGCAGGCACAACAGCATCTGACTCCGGCATTCAAAGAATGGTTTAGCCGCCCTGTATCAGCTGTTCTTGCATTCCGAAGAGAGTATGGAGGGTCGATCTACTTAATGATGCCGAGACCCCTCGAAACGCCATGTTCTAGAACTCACAACGTACCTTTCTGTAAACATAACCCCTGCTTTGTCCCGCGTTTCAGAAATATCCGCGAGCACCAAGAAGCCTAAACGACGAAAGCCGCAAGCCCTAGAAACCGTTAAATAGCACCAAGTGCCAAGACCCTCTTAATTCGCGCGTGCTTGGATCGCCTGTGCTTCAACAGGGTTTGCGTTCGAATCTTTCATGCTCGAATGTGCTTGAACAACGAACATGTCCTTGGAGATGGCGTCCGTCGGGCTACCTTAGCAAAGCGCCATTTCTCAAACAGGCGCGGCACGAGTGATGCTTCATGACGGCTTCTCGGCCGAGATCACGACCAGGCTCCATTTCTAAGAAAGATCGTGGCACCCAACCTTCAGAAAACCCATCCTGGCCAGACAACATTTGCAAAGGTCGGAGGGTTGAACCCTGAAAAAGCCGTTCTGCAGGACAGATTATTCACAACATCTATTTGCTCCTCGGCTCTGCACCAGATCCAGTCCGCATTGTCCTGAAGATGCTTTCGTTCTGGCCTATTGAGCCGCTGGGAGGAGCACGTCGTCAGCGAACACTGGAGTATAGGGAAGAGACTGCATCTATGACGAGGACACGTGTGCCCTGAGCCACGCTGAGCTCGTGCTCACTGTTTCCAACGACCTCAACAGCGCTCATCCACGATCAAAGCTGCGAAAATCGGTGACGTACCCACCTCACAGCTAGCAGTGGCATACTTGCCCGCTGCGCTTTGTGAGAGACCGTGCTGCGACCTCATTGAAGGATATCCAAGGTACAATTCATCCGACTGCAGAACTCGCTCGTCCCTGCGCTGGCTGAGCTCTATGCAAGGCATCAGTAATCTGCTGCAACTCGGTTCCGAGATACAAACCTGGGAGCAAAGCATGCCAGCACCATTCTTCTCTATGACAGGGGAAACGGATTGATTCGTCCCCATAAGCCCCCCGAGCAGACAAGCTTGAAAGAGGGTTTTGCATCAGGAGTGTGGCAACAGCCAGCAGGCAGCTGCGCACTGCAGAGTTCCTCGAACATCGCCTCCCTGACGTCTCAGCCATGGCACAGAACTGCATGCACTTCTCCATCCACTCGGGATCAGCAGTGCGATCCTCTGGCTTGGCCTGCACGTGAGCTGTCATGCTTGCTGTGTCTCGGCCAAAGCCTGGGCTTGGGCTTGGCCTACAGCAGAAACGGTTTGAGAAACCCTCAGCCAACTCAGCCTGCCGAAGACATAGCTCCTTGGCAACTGAGAAACTCGACGGCACCTCATCCCCGACCTGCAAAGGTGTCTTCCTGAAAGAAATCCAACTCTGTGTTGCGTGCGGCCGAAAGCTGCAGGCCACGCACAGCCCGTCAGATTCGGCAGTTATCGGGCTCAGTTCAGGCCGAGAGCAACTCAAGGGCCGATGCCCGATGAGCTCTCGAACGCCAAGGTGCGTGGTTTTCAAGTCCAGTCAACGCTTCCACATGGGCCAAGGCCACTTTTGGCACACAAGAATCGCAGCTTTCGGAAAAACCTAGACTGAATCTACAGTAGGGCGCGATTGCTATGTTTGCCACGAGGTTTTCTGGAACAAGCACTTTGCTGAATTTGCGTTGAGGGTCTTGTGCCGGGCTTATGTAGGTATCTCGTAAACATTTGGCGAAGCTGGCCGGGGCGATAAGTTTGGCCATGCGCCCAGATTTGGGCTTGAATGGACGAAACCAAGAACTGTAGCGACGGTTTTTCTCCCACCTGTGCCAAATCCCTGCGGGCCCATGTGAACCCCGGCATCTGCGAAGCACTGCTCTATGGTATTAAGAAGTATGAACTGACAGAATGTCCTCATCCTCGTCATCATCTTCATCATCGTCATCATCATCACCGTCATCACCATCATCAGCAGCACCTCGTTCGCATCCCGTAGCCGGACGTCGTCTCCCCCCTCCAGCCCCCCCTCCAGCCCCCACTCCACCCCAACACAACAATCGGGCAAACGTGGGAAACGTAGCCTGAATCTGGACACAGCATCCTGATTTTGGATAGAAACAAAGATGCGACTTTGTAGAAGCCGGATTAGGAGATGACTGTCAAGCAAAGAATGCCATGAAGATGCGGAGAAAGACGGCCCTTCTAGCTGCCCGACTTGCCCTCGATTGAGTGTGTATTTTTCTCAATGTGTAGGGGGAGCTTTCGTCCTTGGCTCCTTCTGACAAGGTGAAGACTATCGCTGCCAAGTCTTCTAAGTGCTTCGCAGCTACTCCCAATTGCCTGTGCAAGGTATGTCTCTAGCTGCACTGCGTACGCCACCACCTGCCACAGCAAGGGCAGTCAGAGTGATGTGACAGCCCTTGCTTGCAAAAGGCGTGCTCTACGGAGCGTGTGCAAATAAGCGCCGCTTTGCTGCAGGACAAAATCGCCTCCTGTGAGCTTTCAGTTACCTGCCTCCTCCAACGCTTGCAGAACGAGCCGATGCCATTTGGACCTCGGAAGAAACTCTTCGTGACAACAACATGTGTTGCCTGCCACGGCCGTTTGCGAATCCGAGCAATTGTGGCAACATGACACACCGTATGCAAGACAGCCACCAGGAGGACGTAGGGCCCTCGCGCAAGCATTGCTTCCGAGCGGTTGTCTTGCAGATAGGCATCGGTTACCCAACCAATCTGCCTTTTCCGAGATGGCGAGAAAGCAAGAAAATAGCAGAAAACCTGAGCATGAATGAATATTGTGCGCCTGTCGTTGGCTGATCCAGGAAGCTGCGGGCCTTGGTGTCGTTCCAAAGGCTTGATTAATTATTTGGCCGACCTGGTTGTCTGCTATTTTTGAAGACTACGAGGGCAGGCTGCATTTTGTTTAGATGAGACCCTTCTGAGTTTACAGTAAGCCTATGGAAGTGGTTAGGTAGATGGGCCTTGCCAGTCCCTCTTCCGACCTATGTCCGAGGTACAGGCCAGTCCACAAACGGCACTGTGCCCAGCCACTGTAATGCCGACTGACGACCTGCATGTCAGCTGGCTTGGTTCATCGGGCTCAAGCCCGGGGCAGCACTTAAAGGCTCTGTCGGTTTTCAGGCATGCCATTCTTGGAAATGCCAGTGTGTGAAACCACAGGCGGTAGCTCAGCAAAGCAACAATGACAACACCATCCGTGCTCAGGCTGACATACCCGGAACTGCGAGTGATGTACTAAGAGTTCACACGAGTCCTTGTGAGCGTATCCTTCTTCGCAACGAGCTGCTTGACGTGTGCAGGTTGCAACGTCAGCATTTAAACATCTTTGCAGCTTTTTGCAGAAATTGGAAGACTTCCGTCGCCATCTTGACCTGGTCAGGTCATATGCACCAGTACAAGGCCGCACGTCGCAAGCAGTTCCAAGAAGAGGGTTTCTCGTTGCCAAACTGGAAAACGGTTCAGGAGGCAACCTGATGCCAGTACCAGTAAGACCGCACCAAGCGACCCTTTCCGGATTCTTGTCTGGATGCCATTCTCGCAGCAGCTTTCGAAAAGCCTTCTGTTTCTCCTGACATCTCACTTTGCAAGTGCTACGTGGCGAGAAAGTCCTGCACGCTTGAGCAGCAGCCGCGCGTTGGCTACAAGCAAGCTGTCGACTCTCGGCACTCCTGCCCGTCGGTCATCTCTTTGATGTCTTGTATGTGCCTGCAGCCAAATACCGGATAGCAAATGCGTGAAGACTTGACTGGGACTGAGCCGATCCCATGCTTGGCCCACCATTATGCCTTAGTTGCTGCTGAGTTGCTGCATAGCTTCGCGCTTTGCATCCGTCACATCTTCTGGCCTCGATGATAGTCACTGTACTAATAGTTTTTTGAACGATTTCACATCGATTGGGAAACGTTGGCTCACCATAATAGGAACAACGGATGCTGGGAGGCCGATTGGAGTCTTCGAACCAATTTTGCTTGGGCCAGTACAGGGTCTAAGCATGTCTGAACCTACCAGCGGTCCAAAGTGTCAGCCAAGTAGGGCTCCGAGTGATTCCTCAACTGTTGCTATATTATAGATCTGCAATGAGGGCATTGCGCAAGAGATCATTGCGCGACATATCATGCGCGACATGCAAAACACTTAGCCGGGTCAGGTTTTTTGGACGGCTTGCATCACGGCATTTCTGGCGTTGTCTCAGGGGCTGAGAGTATAGAATGCGAGGGGCTGTGCTTTCAGGGTTAAGTGTCAACTGAGCAGTTTCATGGTTTCAAGCTTTGGGCATTTGGACACTACCTCTCGGACAGATCCAGGTGAGACTGTTCGACTTACACACGCGCGCAAGGCAGGCATGGCCTGCGGGGTCCGAGTTTGCTCTGTTCAGGTTTGGTACTGTGTCTGCAAGTTCTAAGCAACCCCGAGAGCCGTGGCTGCATGAACAGCGAGATCTTCTCAGCGTGACCCCAGACTTGCTTTTGCGGATTCGAGCTTCGTCGAGTTTTTGGTCTTCACAGCTTGTAGCACTGCAACGCCTTCTCTGGGCTGAAGTTTTCACGACTCACGAGGTAGGGGTTGGGGGTGAGGCATTGGAGCCTTTGACTGAAGAATTCTTGCCAATGTGGCCAGCTTTGCGCGTGCTCCGCTGCGAAAGTCCACCTACACCGTCGCAACGACATAAGCATACATAACAAAGATATTGGCCGAGAGGCTTATCTTGTGCCAAAAGCCCACCAGAAGATGAACTGCTGCTTGATGATTTATGGCCTGGCAGCAATTCGTTGGATTTGGCACGTTCTTGTGAGAAGAAGCATCAAACGATGGCTAGGCAGCTCGGCATCTAAGCACCAGCCCGGAATTTCCCGAATTGAGTTTACAAAGAACTACAACAATTGCTGCTGAAGAACGGCCACGATGTCTGTGATCTCTGTGGCCGCGCTGTCTGTGATGGCTTTGGTCGCGATGTCTTTGATGGCTGTGACTGCGTCTCTTCGGTCTGCACAGGCTTTTGCTGCGACTTCTGCTTGGCAGCCGAGCTCGCTCTATAGCAGCAGCAGCTTGACCAACACCCCTGCCAGGTTGAACGCAATCAATTAAGTGGCAGGACACGCCAGACTCAGGCCACAATGCATTAAAGTGAGAGCAGTTGGACTCGAGTTGCGAAACAGAATCCTAAGCAAACCCTCTAACGTTAGTCCCCACTCAATCTACTGCAGTTGTCTTTGGAAATATATTCGCAAGCCGGTCCTAACTCGAAGGGCTCGGCTATGCTCACACAAGGCCACAGCTGTTTGTCCCAAATCCTGCCTCTGGTGGGCGCTCAATGGCTTGAAAGCGCCACAGACTGTGCACCGTGCCTTCATTGTCAAGTTCTTCCCTCCGCATGGACATATCCAACCCATCCATGCATTTTCTGCGTTGTCCTGAGCAGACTCATGCTTGGGGTTGCGGGGCCCGCAGCCCATACAAAAAAGGACTAGATAAGGCTGCAAAGCTGCTCGCTGGGCCATCTTCTCAGCTATTCTGGCCTGGCTGCACCCAAAGCATGCCAAAATGCGTGGCAGAAGCATGGATCGTCATGACATGTCATGAATGACTTTGGACAGCTTTCGTCATCATCCAGAGCCTGCATTGAAGCTTTGGTGTTGGAGCCTTAGCACGACAAGGCAAGACGGAGCATCCTGGGGCGACATGGGCTGAATCTCGGCGAGTCGCCGGAGCTCGACCCTGCACGAAAGGCACATGACCAGGCGTATGAGCATGAGCTAGCATCTACCCCCTCCCTTTTGCCTGAGGAAGAGCTCGAGCTGGAGCTGGAAATCTTCTCTGCCATGGCTGGGCCCAGGCCGGGACGGCACATGGAAAGGCTAGGGCTGGCTACACCAACGATTTTGCGTGGAAGCTTTCTGATGTGCCGCCTCGCTACCGAGCAGAACAACATTCAGTGACTTGGGCAAGAAGGCTCAGACTTTCGAGTCCATGTTGTGTATATCCTGGGGACTGTGAGATGTAGGCTGGCTCCAGACCCCCGGTTGTGGGTCTCATTGATGTACAGAGTGCTGCTAAAGCTTGGAAGAAGCTTCACGCCAAGTGCAGACTGAAAGCAGTGCGACGTTTCTCAAGCTTTGTGGTTGTACCAGTAGTGTGGGCATCGACGGCGTAACTTCTGCCTCTAGGCAGCAACGAGCTGCTGCAGCTGCACAAGGCCTCCACTACATCGCCAAGCTTGAGGTTCAACAGACCTCGGCAAAACAACTGTTCCCGCCAGCAGTCATTAAGAGGTCGGCAAATCAGGAAGGTTGTCGTAAACCCGCCTTCTGCATCACCAACTTCATGATCTGCGAGGCAGCACAGTGACGTACTTTTTGGCGTCGGGATGAGCAGTTGCTTACTTGCTACCACTTATCACTGGTCATGTCTGCCTGCGATCAGCTGAGCCAACTCCGCTATTCGATCCGCTGGCAACCAGCCCGGCGTCTTGTCGCCAATGCGCCGACAGTACGCCCAGCCTGAAAGAGGTTCTACTAAGAGGGGGCCACTGCATGCACATGTAGGCACATTCGTCCGGACTGGCCTCCCATCTCACGGACCAAAATTTCCTGAGAGAAAAACTTATGCAATCCTGGTCTCTACTTGAGATTTGTAAGGGACTATCTGGAGTAGACACTAGGACAGCAAAGCCTGCTCTGCCGATCTTAAACTGCAGCCTCAACGATAATCAACCGGTTCGGCAGGCAGGTGTAACATGGGCGGAAGCAATTGCAACTTGGCTGCTATTTCCTGCCCTTCTCTCGCCTTGGTCAGACGGGCACTCCGCGCTCTGGATTCTGAACAAGTTCCCTCAAAACCTGAAGCTCATGCAGTCAGCATGCAATGTACACTTGCAGCATGTTCTTACAACGAAAGGCTCTCTGCCCTGCATCTTCTTCGACAGGATGCTCGCTACTTTCTGCGGAAGCTGGACTCCAAGGTGGCAAGTTCACGAGCCCACTCGCACAAAGACAAGCATTCCCGCGATTTGCAGTGCAGACATGCGGCGAGACAATCAGACAGGAAGACGCAACAAACACAATGTACTGGACGGACAAGACAACAAAGACTGAAAAAGCAAAAACCAGCACACTGGCCGAAACAACCAAAACATACGACTGACATTGCCGTTTCGGAGAGAAGGGAGAGTGTGAAGTCTCAAGACCTCAAGACTGCACCCTTCGGACTAACAGTTTCATCTCCGCACGCACTACCGCTACGAAGTCTCTCGGCAGATCTTTGCTACCTTCTGGGCACGCGGCTTCGAGCAAAGGAACTTCCGGAGTGGAGCTCTCTGGCTCGTAGCCGACCTTGCGAGCTTGAAAACCGGCTTTTCGAACTGCCGCTGCTGCGTGCTCCCAAGACACCGTGACCACGCCGTTGACTCTGACAGGCTGCTCTTCCAGAATGCCCAGCCTCAAGCGGAGCCGAAACACGTCCCGTGTGTCTCGGCACACCGAACATGCAGAAAAGCCATTGAAGTCAAAAGTCTTCGAGTTTTCGATTTCCGCGACTTGGGCTTGCAGCTGCGCGCTGTAGTCCTCCGAGGCTGCAGGCACAAGCAGCTTTCCAACGGCAGTTGATATCAGCTACATGCGCAAGACTTCTGGCCTCCGCTTTTGTGCGAATGCCCACCTGGCAACTTCAATCAGGCTCTTGCAGAGAGCGTTGCCCTCGTCTCCCACCCTGCTTGGCACTGCTTGGGGATTGGGGGAGGCAAGTCACCAGGGCCGGGCTCCCACAAGGTAGAGACGGGACCGATCATGACCGATCCAGGATGGACCAACAGTGATCGCAAGCGGAGCTGAGGCTGCGTTCCAAGAAGCCCGACACGGAGGATAAAATCATGCCCAGCATTATTGCCAGCAGGTGGCGATTCTTTGAGCGATCGCTTCGATGAGCTGGTTCGTCTCTTCGTCATCTTCCGGTAATCTTTCTTCCTGCACGTGCACAAGACTCATCATATACGACCATTGCACCGGCGAACTTCGTGAAGGATGTCCTGATCGTTCTTTGCTGGGTCCGGCTTTTTGCTTGCAAAACAGCCCATGGCAAAGACTATGTGTGGAAACCTATTATTGACAAGTGACTGTTGAGGCTCCATGACTAGTACGAATGGTATGTAGCACGGTGACTACACTGATGACGGTGCTTTAGCTTAGCGACTTACTTCGAAAGCTGTTATGCAGAGTTGCCAGCACACTATCACTATCAACTACACCGGCAGAGGTGGCAGGGCCGCCAGCAGCTAGCCTCAGTTTGTCAGCAATCTGGCAATTGCGTACGGCCGGCAGTCATGCATGCTGCGAAGATCTTATCTTACGCCAAGGCGCCCATAAACCTTGCAAAGTGGCTCCGAAGCTGGCGCTTTGCGACCGGCTTGGGCCAACACTGCAGCGGAACAGTGCCGGTGGAACGGGACGCGTCCGAGCTTGCTGCTGAACAGTCACTCCTCGACACGGCAAGAAGCTTCCTTTCTGGCACTGCCTGGTTGCCCTGCGCTGGGGCCGTGAAATCAAAACATCGCCTCTCTGCTTCGTCCGATGCAGGCCGGCCGGATCGAATGCTGTCAGCGCATCGCCGGCTGCACGCTCTCAATCTCCAGGCGGCGTCGTGATCGTGTTCTTGGCGGCGCTCGCCTGGTTTGCGATCATCTCTGGCAGCGACGACACAGGGTCTTTCGTGCACACTGTCACTCATGCAAGACGGTCTTTGCTGAGCGTCTTAGGGGGCAGTAAGTCCCCTTGGCCCCGAACAGAAAGGTGATGTTGATCCGCCTTGACGATACGCCCAACTTTTTGAAAGCCAGTCGCTGGGTGCTATGTATGCGGGCAGAATCGAAAACGACAGCCCTGTTCTGTCGATACGGCGCGGTGACGTTTGCGTACTCCGACTCGCCAAGCAGGTCCGACAAAAGGCGGTTCTTGTCAGAATCCATCTGGTTGAACGACTCAAAGGAGGAACTGCGCTCATCCACAGAGGCATCGAAGATTACAAGTCCGCCGCTGGAATTGTCGAGATTAACTTCATCTGGCGTAATCCACAGATTTACGTTCACTGCGGCAGCATCTGCATGCAGGTCAATTCCGGTTTCAGACTCATCATCATACTTAAAAGCCCACACATTTGCCAGCGGCAGGTCGCACAGAACATCAGCAAGCAAGCCCCGCAATTCTTCTGCAATCTGCGAGAGCAGCGGCGACGCAAAGCCCGTGCTAAACCCAGCACCCAGATAGTGCGGTCGCTCCTGGTACCAGATGGTCGACAACTCGGCAAAGCTCCGTAGCTGCAGTAAGGCATCCTGCGTCAGGAGGTCGTCAACAACCAGCACGCCCCCCGATGCCAGAAATCCGCCGGCTCGACTTGAGCGCTTCGAGGGTGGAGCTGTGCTGTGCAAAAGCCGAATTTGAAGCTCTGGATATGGAGTCAATGCTGGTAGTGCAAGGCGCGGGCTCGGATGAACGTAGAGTCTGCGATTGTGGAACGGATACAGGCTGTGCCAGTGCTCGTCAGTCGGGCGCAGAAGCCCACCCTCCACGCGTTCTGCTGCACCGAGCACACGATCATAGGCCACTAATGCACCTTGAGCGATTGCATTTGATATCAGATTTTCGCTTCGTAGCAATTCAATTAGAAGCTTGTCATGTCGCAATCTGTGCTCGTACACAAGACCCAACAAACCAACATTGCTGTCAGTTGGGCGAATTTCTCCACATGGAAAGAATCCGTGTGATGGCATGTGGACAGCAAGAAGCTCCGGCTCATCCTCACTCAAGAACATGAACGGCTGGTGAAATCGAATCATGGAATATGCCTCCCAGCCATCAAAGGCCTCAGCCAAGCCTGTTGAACTTGGAGGTGAGGCGTGCGCCCATGTGCCATTAGGGCCCCAGTGCAGAACGTTTGAATCACCAGAACGAGGCAGCGCAAATGCCAGCGTTGATGCGGCAGCGAGCTCTCGAAGCAGGTACCGGCTCTTGGGGAATCGTGACAAAACGTTCACAAAATGAAGACGAGCTTCTTCTGGGGCCCTGTGTGTAAGCAGAAGGTCCCAACCTAGGTGGAGCTGTTTCAGAACCTGCTCTCCCAGACTCACCTTGCTGAAGTCTTCCGTCAAGGTCCGCAAAGACTCCTCCCAGGCACAGTTCCAGGGGAAGAATACTTCCACGGCAAGAGTGTATCGCAAGTTGGTTCTCGACTTTTCTTTGGAAGGGATGGCTGGCGGACACTTATCTGCAGCAGGTAGCGTCGCAGGTTGGGCGGTAAAACTCTTCGCTAAGCTTGTTCGGGTGACTCTTCTTACAGTGAGACCCAGGACCCAGGTTCTTTGCAGGGCTCGGGCTCTAAGACAAAGCAAGTCTAGCTTCGGACCCGAACTCGCCACCGAAACTCCAGCAATGTGCTCATTTGTTTCGGTAGCAGCGCGCTAGAGGTTTGAGCCCTGAGCTTGGGGAACGTGCTTTAATATGTCTTGCATTGCATGCAGAGCTGTGAGTTACTTTTACGACTTTCCTTGTCTGATGCCTCACCCCTCACCAACCCTTTGTGATCAATGACTACAAGGAAATACAGGAATATCAGGCTCGGCTTTGACTTTGAGGAGTCGTTGCAAGGGATCACATATCTGATAAAAAGGCGGTGAGAGTCGACGGCCCACTTATTACTTGCTCGTCTCTTGTCAGAACAAGCCGCAGCCAAGCTTGTCCCATCAAATCTGCTAGCCGATACTCTCCGATGATGATGTGCTGGAGAACATCCCCTCAACAGAAGCGTGCACGACAGACTCTACTGGAATGTTTCAGCAGTTTCTGATGCAGAATGACCGCAACAACTCGCCACTCTGTATGCGTGATGCGTCCGCACATTAGCTCGTGCTAGGAAAAAGCCAGCTGTGCAAATGCAGTCTTGCAGCAACGATGCGACTTTCAGTGGCAAGTGGAGATGCACACTTGCATGCCTCGCAATTTCACACGGTCCTGTATGTCTGTCAACTCCCCCTGCTGGCAGCCACCTGCCAACGCACGGCGGGCAATCTATGCAGCTGGATGCAACAGGGTAGCTTCTCTGCCTGCACCGACTGACTGGAGATGGCGGCAGGTAGCTTCAGCCAGCGCAGAGACGGAGTCGCCATCACGAACAAGTATCCTGTTGCCGGGGCATACCGTGAAGACCCACATCCTGGCCCGGTGAAACGTCTACAAAAACCTGTGGCCGACTGACGTCACTACAAGTAGGAGTGGCATCGGCCACCACTGCGATCTTCCCGCACATCTGCTCAAAGACTTTTGCACCCGTCCTGGCAGATGCGTTGGCCTGAAGAAGCCCGGGTAGAACACAGGCATAAGTAGCTCAAGTCAATACAGGCCATTGCAAAGCCAGCAGCTGCATATAGGCCTTCTGCACTGTCGTCGATGCGATAATTGGAGCTCTGACATTGACCACTGCAGCAGCCCCCCCGTCGACACAAAGACCTTGCGGGAAGCTAGTGTCTCCGGGCTTGCAAGGACTTAGAGTGACACGGCAGGAATGACGCCTTCCAACACAAGGAGTGCCAAAGTTCTCCGGGCTTGCATCAACATGAGCCCGGACAGCCGCCGCTGGCAAGGCTTTTAGGCTGTAGAGTTGGTTTGCTGCATGGTAGCATCAACTTGCACGCCGCAATGGCCATGGCTTTCAGGACGTGAAAGTTCCATCGGGCTGAAGTTCTGCAGCACGAGTTTACTCGAAACTGAGCCACACCTCGAACTTCGCAGCGTTTCTGCCAATGAATTCCTAAATAAAACTTCCACGACGGAATGCACACCATCACGGACTAACGCCTTTTGCGAGTCTGCAGCACGTCTCTTTGCCGAGCTGGGGGAAGTCACATGACCAACGAAGTCAGCAGCACGAAAGCCTTATTTCAAGATTCTTCGTGCACTGAGACGCAGCATGTAAGATTGCATTTACTGAGACCAGCTGCCACGATGAGGGTGTCCGAGACAACCTCCCTGAATTGCAAAGTCAGAACGGATCTCGCAGCCTTTCTCTGCAAAACCCCAAGGCTCTGACACCGCATCGCTAATGGCAACCCTTACGCAATGGGAAAGTGGCAGTCGCAGGGAGGTCGCCGGCTCCTTGCAGGTGTAAGGCGGGCGCGCTTGTTGCGGTCGTCGAGTGGTGCTCGAAGCATTAACCTCCGAAGGCCAGAGCTGTTGCAAACGACCGCCGCAAGGGGGCAAAAAGATGCCCCGCCTCAAACAGAGATGTCGTTGACTCTGTGGACTGGCGAGGAGTCGAAAACGCATGATACGAGTGGCGAAACGCTTTTTGAAGTGCCGTCTCAAGCTTTACCCTCCCCGAGGGAGGACCAAACGGAGATCTGCAAAACCTCTTGGCACTTGGCGCAGCTTTATCAAAAGCATCTCAATCGTCAGCGAAGTCTCACTCTACTCTACTGAGCCTACTGCCTGCTAGCCAGGACACCGTCTCGAACGGCCAAGGCGGAAAACAAAAGGAAGCTACAAGCGCTGAGCCCTAGCACTAGCCTTTCGCTCAGTTTGCTACCCTCCAACAACGAAGCTGCAAGGACTGCAGAGAGGGTCAGGACCTGGGTCGTCTGCATGCAAAACATGCGTCTCTCAGCGCAACACACCCCATGCATTCAGGATAACAAGACCATGAGCCGGGCGGCTAGGAATGCAATCATTGAGCCGATGCAGACTGGAATCCAGGGCGCCGAAGAGTGGAGCGTCACCATTGCCACCTGCGTCCTGTCGCCCCATTCCGCCACGAAGACTGCGATGAAGACCCGCAGAACAATATCCTGCGCACTCGATCAAGTTGAGAAAGCCTGTTTACCGCCCATGCTTGGAGGTCAATTGCTGACTGCAGCTCTGCTGCAAGAAGGCACTACCACATTGGTGGCAATCAGTGGCAACCCTGTAGTCACAAAACTTGGACCCAACCAACCTTCAACCGAGCTCGGTCCTTCCAAGCCTGCTCAGTTTTCCCACCTGAGCACCACTAGCAGTATGGGCTTGAATTTCTCCGGCACTCTGCTGCATGCGTCGCCTGCCTACTAAGCAGTCTCTCGTCACTCTAGTCTCCGGCCTTGCTCTTGCAATGCCTCCTTGGCTTCGCCTGTTCGTTCCTGAATGACATCATCATCACTTCCTGCTCGGAGAAACTCGGTAAGATAGGCCATAGCCTCAGATAGCTGCCCGGCGGAGACTTCTAGGCGGACGGCGCAAATCCCAAGTGCCCCATGTTCGTGCGCACATCCCAAGTGCGGAGTGTTCGTAGCTTGGGTTTCGTGAATGGGGGCTGGCCCCCTGACGGTTGATATATACTTTGATTTTATCCAAGCAACCAGAAGCAAAAAGACGGTGGCCGTGGTAAAGCAAAGTACTGTGACCGAAAACAGCTGAGCAATGGCCACGCCCAGTGCTGCTGCCAACAGCACGTGCACAACTAAGGCCACATACGCACCAATGAAAGCACGGCTTTTGCCGTAATTCATGGCCTTGGATTTTGGTCATGAGCGATGCAGATCTCTCAAAACCAGAAACGGCCGTAAAGGGCAAATGTGCTTCTTTGGTTTACTTCCACATTTCCGAATCGCGAAGCAACCCTCGTACCAATCTCCTTCAACCAAACTGGCTACACTCGCTCTTCCTCCTTTTTTTCTGGTGTTTAAGAGGTTCGCAGCGACCCCTTCTGCTCGCGCACCGCGTCCAGCGGTCTGCCGCATGGGTGTGACACTGACAAAGAGGCCTCGACGTAGCTAGCCGCGGTATAGGACCGACAAACCATGAAACCTAGCCCCGTTTGCTTCACATTCCTCGTGGTGGGGATCGCCAAACACATCTTTGTGATCAGTTGAAGCATCGAATTGCGTCCTCAAATTTCAGAGCTCGCCGGTTCTTTCAGCAGGTGCATTCTTTTGTCGGATTTTATCGCATGGAGCGAGTGGGACATCTCTCGAAGCAGCGTGCAATCCAAAAACTCCGAACCGTGCCTCGCCTTGTAGCTTCTTGGCTCCTGAATTCTGGTCTGGAGGAGAACAAACTCTACCTCTCCGTCAGTTGCTTCACGTTTCATGTTTGCAGTTCTTGTCGGGACCCTCATGCGTGTGCGCGCATAACCAGGGGCCGGCTTGCTCGCGCGCGACAGATTGTTTTCAGTGCTCGCCTTTTTTCTCTTCCAACAGACACGCCATAGCCAAGAAACTTCCAAACCTACTCATGCGAAGCATGAATACCTGGCTCCAGAAACCTCCGCCCAAGGGAGCAAGGCTAGCGCATGACCCGCCGCAATCTAGCACGCCGCAAGCTAGCCTTCAATACGAGACCGCAGAGTAAACGCCACAGCTGACTGACGACCCTCTTTGGACTAGCGTCCCAAGGCCATTGCGTTTGGGCCAGGCTTTCCATTGGGGGGGTAGTCTGCTGTTCCTCCTCTTGCGCGGCGGTCTCTCCTCTGCTTTCGTTTGCTTGTGTTGCCACCTTCTGGTGCACAGGTCGTGTTGGTGTCCTCAATCTTTGTGCTTCTTGCTGGTGGGCATGCCCTCGTCTTGACGATGTACTCGCGCAGAGGCTCCTGCTTTGCCTGCTGCGCTGGCCGGTCCCCCTGAATGCCTCCCACCGACCTTTTTTTCATCAGCTTCTCCACTCACTGTCACTTGCTCGCTGAATGCATCGTCTCGGAGGTTAGTCCTCTCTGGTGTTGGTCGTAGACCTAAAGGACGACGTTCAAAAAACAATGAACCGGACGTGGACTTAGCTTCTTTTGGTTTTGTGGGTTTCAGTATGGCCCTTGCCCGCCTGCATTTGGGTTGTGAGGAGCTCCACTTCGTTGGTTTGGCCGGCTTGCGGTATTCGGCGTTCTCCGTTCTTTGACTTTCTTTGAATTTGGTGTTTACAATATTCTTGTCAGCAGTGTCCTCGCGCTGCTTGTTGCCTTCGAAGTCCCGGCCATATGCGTGGTTTCCGGTGTGTTTCCTTCCTTTGTGCCTCGTCACGGCCTCGGGTAAGTATGCGTTGGCAAACGATCACGGCTTTCTGTGCGAGTTTGTGCCTCGGCTGCTTCCAGTAGTCCCTTTCGTGCTGCAACTTCTTGTAGCCCGGTTCCAAGCAGAACGCACTCGTGGTCATAGGTGGCCCAATGGTGGCACCTTGGGCACAAGGGGCGTCTTGGTCGCCCCCACACACCTTGGAGCTGGTGCCCACCATTCTGGTACTTCTGCTTCGCTGGGCTCATTGGGGTTCTTGATGTCGTGTTGCCACGGTTACCATCGCTGGGTTCGCGGTGTCCCTCGTCCATCCTCGCTCGCGCTCTGCTGCCTGAAGTTGTGGACCGAACAGGCGGATCTGCATGTGCCTGGGGGTATAGGCCTTCGGGCCAAGGGGCAAACAAGCAAGATAACAGAGCTGGATGAGGTGGTTATGTTGGCCCAAAAGTGGTGAATGCTGGAATTGGCCGAGAGGTGGCCCAGCTGTACGGAAGGCATGAACAAACACCAACCTGAAATCGGCCCCGCCGAAGGCTGGTGATGCTACCCTGCGCCTGCAGTCTTTCCTCTCATCCTGGCAGAGATGGGCTTCCGGCTGGTCATGTAGGTGCCGACGGCCTGGCCGCCGCTCCCCCCAATGACTGTTCTCGCGCTTCACTGTCTCCCCCTTCTTTGCTCTGCCGGTGGGGAGCTTGGACTGAACACCCACTTCGCGTCCGCGAAAATCGAACTCGGTTGCCTGGTCGGGTCGCCGCCAGGCCACAGGCAACTGCTGCGCACACATCGGCTGCTAACGCCAGATGCAGCCCGGTCCAACACCATCGTTTGGACCACTCCAAGGGTGCGCCGTCGTCGGGGTCTGTGTTCAACTCGGTCCAGTCGACGTCGAACCACTACAGGTGACTGTGGCAACCGCGAGTAGGTTAGACTCTCGCAACTCGGGCAATGCCGGCGAGGATGGATAGGTCGCAGGGAAGGCACATGTGGCCTTGTCATCTCTACACTAAATACGATCAAAAAAAATCGACTGCGAGATCAGGCCTGACGACCGGGAGGGGTAGGTCCTCTCGAACTACCAGCAACTGGGGTTCGGCTCTGTCTCTCTCCCTCTGTGCCTGACGTCCCTGGTACAGTGCCTTTTCGACTCCCCAGCAAAAGTAGCCCACACTGACACGAACACCATGTAATCTGAGGCCGTGATCGTGGAAATGTTGCCTACCTCCAAATGCCATCAAAGGCGCACAAATCAAAGCAACAAACCAAGTTTTGTCGAACAGCTCCGCAACTGCAACCACGGAAAAAGAGCGGAGCACGACGTTGAAGTCATCAGAAAGTGACCGGTACATCGTGCTTGTCTTCGTTGGCTTCTGCTGCTGACTGGCTGCGAGTGTGAGGCGGCTTGACGAATCTACTGCGAGGGCATCCACGTCCGCTTGCAGGACCGTCAAGCTTGTATTCTGCTCTCGCACATGGGCCAAATTGGACAGGCCCTGGCACCGGTCAAGGAATAGAAGGCACAGAACAAAGCGAATCATGGAGAAGGTGCAATCCAGCACCACATTCACTCTCGGGATGTACAGCTCTACGGTTTCTGAGCTGGACGAGTGGCAGCAGAAGTGCGTAGTGAGCCTCTTATCTTGCTACTCTGACCAACGGCGCTGCAACGTGCAAGGAGGCCTCGCTGGGCTGATCGTAGATCGTCCACTGGCCTCGTCTTCCCAACTTGGCCAGATCCTGCTGGCTGCTGCTCCCTGGGTGTTTCTGCACAGCTGAGGCGCTGGCATCCATTTTGATTGGTTCTCGCGGAACTCGGGCAAATGCCTGTGTTAAAGGATTGCAAGAGATGGAAGAGAGTTCCTAGGCGACTGCTCGAAGGCAGGAATGGAAGAAGCCGACATGGTAGGTCTGATGATTCTAGATTAGCTTATTTGGCGGCTGTATCCGAGCAAGCGCATACGCAGCATCAGCAATCCGCGCATGCCCTAGAGCCCTCAAGTCAACACATGCCAACACTGGCCCTCAGAACGCTCAAGAGATGTCCATGAAGTGATCGTGAAGCAGAAACACGGATGGGTGCAGAGTGACGGAGTGGATGCTTGGATCACCCTGGACTGCCGGTGGAGATCCACGCAGGCCCACACACTCCGGCAGTGCTCTGGATCCTTGTTTGCATCGGCTGGATGACGCATGCCACGGACTCTCCCCGTGCCATTGTGCCTTACACCACAGATAGCGTGTGACGGCATCGGACCGGGCGGGTGCTCAAAAGGGTGCACACTCTGCCAGCGGATGCCATGCATGCACTGTGCCACTACACTACAGGAAGTCAGCTGGTGATTTCCATAGCCATGCACATTGCCTCCCGAGCGTCATGGAAGCGGGAATGGCCCCTCGAACCCCTTACATGTGGAATTTGTTTCTTATTAACTTTTCCCCCACACCTCATCATGAAGAACTGAGATTGCTGCCGAAAGTTCTGCAGAGGCCGCGAATAGTGTCCTTGGTCAGGGGCATCCTTGAACAAGCAGGATCAGCGCCTCTCGGTGTGAGGCTGCCACATAGTCGAAGCCCTTGGCTCTCACACCATCTCACACCATGAGATGCTACACAAGACTCGCGACTTGTCAGCCGAGCACACCGCTCTGCAGCCCGTGTCCTCAAGTGCAGATGCAAAATTCTCTAGGTAAACTGCTTACCGCACTGTTTGCTAGAAAGTCCTGCTCACAAAGCTCTTCGCATTCCAGCAAGCCAGTGCGAAGGACCTTTGCGCAACGCGCGCAATACAGAAATGCGACTTTGGCTTGCGACTTGGTGCTGTCAGGATTTACGCTCTCGCAACTCGGACAAGCCGGACGAGATGGTGAAATGCACGCACGGTCTCTGCACACGCAGGCAGAATTGGGGGTTGAGGTTTTGAGGCTTGTATAGGCATAAGGCCTCTAGGGACTCCAGGGTTTAGTTATTAGTTGTTGTTCTGTCTGCCGGGCTTCTTGCTACTTAAAAGAGCTTGGGAGCGCTTAAACACATGCGGGCTCCAGGCTTGGCGGCTTGTGGCTTTCGTGTTCGGCGATTGGAAGTCTTGCTCTCACAGGATGGGGATCGCGGTTTTTTCCCACCCGCTTCAAGGCTTGAAGCTTGGAGTTTCCGACATAGCTGGAAGAAGAAGGGACGAGGAGAAGAATCCCAATCCGAAACTGGAGGACTTCAACTAAGTGCCGGTCCTGTCGAAGCAGAGCTCCAGATGCCGGCATGCAATGCATACCTCGTCAGACGCTGTATGTGTGGAGATCTTCCTGCGCAAGTACCTTTGGGCGCTGGACACTGCTCCTACAAGCTGCGACCGGCAGCACTCTCTGCCACTTCGGGCCGCCTTACCTCTACTTGTAGGAAGGTTAGTTCAAGACACTGATCGTGCCCTTGTTATGAAACTTTGTCTTGACCCGCACCAAGACTCAGCAGGACGGGAAAGAGCGCTTGCATACTTGGCCTGGCACTGTTCGCGGTGTACTCCTAATTTTCAGCCGTGGCTGTAATCTAGGCATCGGCGTGCTGTGCTCGCTCACGACTATAAAGGGCCAAGGGGCCCTCAACAAGACAAGCAAACGTTGATTTTCGAAACCCCGAAATCCATGCAACCAGCGTTTGTCTGCCCCCTGAGGTCCGACTCCCAAGGTACCCGAGACCAGGGAGCAACTTCACCCCAGACCAGCGTCACGCAGAAACCGTGCCACTCCTACCGTCAGGAAAAATGGCTCCAACATCCTCACAGGCTGTGCCACTTCGACTTTGCTTTCTGTACAATGCAATTTTGTCAACTCCTGTGGCTGTCTACCAGTGGGCATCGCATTGTGGCCATCTCACCGTGGAGTAGCTTCGATGGTGCGTATGTTAGACAGGGAACCCACCTGAATCATGCCGAAAAGCTTCTTATGCGACCTGAAACTGGATCACGGTAACTGGCTGAACGTCTTGCCAACAGAAGTCCTACAGACATAAGTTCACGTCGGATCGGATACACAAACACAGTCCAGGAGTCTGGCATCTCGTTGGCGTGTAAGTGCTTTCGACCAGAGGAGCCAGCAGGTCTCTGCCTGAAGCAGTTGACGGCGTGGTACTTAGCAGAATTCGCTAATTGTCAATCTGCACAAAATTCACAGACTAGCAAAACGCAAGCACAATTGCACCGCAACTGAACTGGCAAGGCCACAGCTGCAAGAGAGCAAGACCTGGATGAAACTCTGCGAACAAGACGGAAACAACAGCATGCAGCATCGAAACAGGTTTGGGAGTAACGGAAACCATTTCGGCAGGTCGTAACCGGAACGGCGAATAGTAGTAACAGGAACCGCCGGGGCTCTCTTACAGGAACTGTCCCGGGAAACCCACTGACCGAAACTAGGCTGGAAGTCTGGGAGGAAGTCTTCTCAGGGGGACCGGTTTTTCGGTCCGCCTCTTTGACACCATTAACAGCCTTACACTGACGGCTATGTTTCGTTCAGTAGCAGTAGGAATAGCAGTTTCTAGCACCACAGCAGCTGCAACAGTAGCAGTAGCAGTAGCAGCAGCAGCAATGGGAGTAGCAGACGGGACAACCCCGAGACTCTCCGACCACAAGCCCACAAAAGCCCGATTAGGATTACGAAGGGTTGAGGGTTTAGGGTTCAGGGTTATGGGGTCAGGGTTGAAGCGGACACAGATATCCCCCCGTAACCTCTGAACTTTGAAGTTTTAGGCTTGTGGGTCAAGACCTTCGACAACCAGAAACCGCAGTACAGAGGCTTAGCATTGAGCGTTTCGGGCTTTGGGGCGGGGCTTACGGTGCTCGACCAAGACATCGCATTCGGGGCAGCAACTAGGACCACCGAAGCTACAAGGCGACCTATGATTGCAGCAAACCTTTCCCTTATTGTTCAGCTGTACGCATCGGAAAGTCTAGACCAAGGTTCCTGTAGTGCTACATGAAATGGCATGTTGAAGACGTGTAAGGAGGGGACCGGAAAAGCGGGGTCCTTCTCTTGTAAGCCAAGAAGAGTAGTCGGAGGCGACAAGAGTCAGTGTGGCAGCTGCCCGGTATTTCCGGTTACAGGCGGCTGGCCGGGGCTGTTAAGGGAACCCGTGGTTTCTGTTACGGAATCCCTGATGGTTCCTGTATGTTCCTGTATGTTCCTGTTACAAGTTCCCGTTACGGACAACCTGTTCCCGTTACGGCAATCACTCGCGCCTACTATGCCATGGCATAAAACGACACAGAGCTAACCTGGGCAGCTGACCCACCAGGATGCAGTTGGTTCTGAGAACCTCGGTCAGGTGCTCCGTCATCAGAACTCAGCTTGAACAACTCTCACATCTCTGGCATCTCCGAATAGACCGGGCCTCAAGTTCTTCGTTTGGCTGAGCGCAGCTCGGCTCGTCCGCACCAGGCTCCTGGCAGCGGGGTCATCTTCGGCTCTTCGCTTCGTGTCAACAGAGAATCTCGCTATGCTCGCATTTCTGGTGCTCTGGCCCTTCCATGGCGTTTCAAAGATATGTCTCTGGAGCGTGCTCCGCATTGAAATCTGTCATGCCCCAAGTCTGCAAATGCCGCGTGCCGGATTTAAAATAAAACAGGAACCATGAAGCAATCACTTTGCCGGGCATCTTAACAGCAGGGCGTGCATCTGGATGGGTCAACCCTTAGCTGCGAAAACCATCCTTGGTGATTTAGTCGCCATAGCTATCACTAAGCAGCTCAAGGTCGACCCGATAGAAGACAAGTGGAATCTCATTGGGCCCACGAAGAAAAGACTCGTTGTGCGATCTGTGCATGTAAGCACAGTGCAAAGCAAGGAACAAAATGCATCGAGAGGAGTCTCTCCATCTGTGGCGCAACTCACCATTCTGTCCCAACTCCTGGTAGGAGTTGGAGGCTCCACAAAAGTGGCACTGGCCAAGGAAACTGGCCATCCCCTACAAGCCAAAAAGTCTGGGGATGCCTAGTTTTCGAACAGGTCCTGAACTATACAGAACGAAAGATCAGGAACCTCGATAAGCGAATTTGGGTTTGTCACCGTGCTTGAAGCTACGATGACATGCGATCCCTCGTTCAAGAGATCCCGCGCCAAAGAAAACCTAAACATGTTCTTAGCCAGGCCAGGCTAAGAGTTCTTTCTGGGAAGAACTTCATATTCAAAGAGAGAGCCATTCACGCAAATGCGACTCCAAGCACCGAGTCACCTTGTGTGCAAAAGCTCTTGGTGTGCACAAACGAAGGGACAAACGTGCGCCCCTTCAGAGGCACGAACGACTGCAGCAGCAGTGAGAAAAGGCTATGGAAGGGCCACTCTTCCATAAGATTACCAAACAGGGGCCATGTGCAACGTGCCAAGATTGGCTTCTGGCAGAAGGGGCAAGGACTTCATGCATGCATGATTTTCACTCTGTACCTGCCAGAAAAACCTCTTGCAACGTTCCCAGTCAGCCCAAACTTCAAGAACGGCATGCTGCAACATGCCCTCAGCGCGCAGCCACCTGCCAGGGGGGATCAATAGGATCGAACAGCAAAACTGCAACCTTCCCCTCTCTGTCCATGCAGAGCCTGTCCAACCAGTCGGACCGAGGTGGCACGTGGGTGGCCTTTTTCGCTGAGTGTCAACGAGAAAATCACCTTGCGAACACACACGAAGATGCACATCATCAGCCGCGATGTCTGGACCTCTCCTAGGTGTCTTCTTCCTGATTGCGAAGCCAAGCTACCTTGTCATTCACCTGATGAGTTGCCAAATGATTCGCATGCAGGGCTCAGGAGCTCAGCTGTGCCAGCGCCCGACAATCCGCCAGGCCTGGATTCCCTCAGGGAGGAGAGAGGAGTCCACAAACACATCGCGCTTGTAGTGGACCTGAAATACGCTTTGCTGCCGCCCGCCAAGCATCTCAATCACCGTCTCAATTAAACAGGTGGCCTTCGTCTCATTGCAAGAGATGAAGCCATATCCATTCTTGGCACCTTGGTTTAAAGCCAACCCCGGGTGAGTGCCTCGTGCTTACACGCGCCAAACCAGACTGGCCCGCACCGAGCAAGGCCAACATTTTTCAATCTAATAAGACAGCCGCCCTACGTCTCGATTGACTGACAGGAAGCGAAGACGAGGTGCTAATTGACTTGAGCTGTCCTTCATGTTCTTGTTTGAGGGCCTGTGTTTCGTCCGAAGGCGCTGCGGCACCTAAGCACCACGGGCTCGCATGAGAAGCGGGTGACTGCATGCCAACCAGGACGACAACATTCGACGTCTGTTGCACACGAGTTTCCGAATGAGTGGTTACATGGCCGAACATGACCGATCGAGGCCACTCAATTGCAGTAAATAGTTGCCGATGCAGGAATGCCTGAGGAAGCAACTTGCCGGCGGAGGTGGAGCAGGCGCTGGAGGCGCAGCACTGGGCTGCATGCTGTTGGCACCCACATTACTGACTGGCGCTGGCATGTTCGGATTGATGCCCGGATTCAGTCCACCCAGACCACCTGAGAGATCTACAGGACAACGGCACTCACATCTAACGAAGCCTGGATTTCAGCAAGAACAACTAGTTCTAGCCATGCCACTATGGAAGGCTTGCATTTGCAAAGCTTGCTGGGCCTGGGTGATGAATTGCGCCTGCATGGCTTGCAAAGCTGCCTGCTGAGTGTTCGGGGCATACCCTTGGTTCGCATAGGCGGCCATTGGGGAAACCACTGGATAACCATACCCGTATGGATACGTCCCTTCGCCCTGATATGGCCAAGGCGGATTGGCAGCAGGCAAGGCGTTGGCAATGTTTGCCGGCTGCTTCGATTTGCCCTTGCCCTTGTCTCCACCTTTGCCTTCCTTTCCATCCTTGCCCTTAGCACCCTTTCCTCCGGTCGCCTGCGCCTCACGCTCGGCTTTGGTTGTGCCCTGCTGGCGGTCGGACAGAACAACAATCAAGTTTTTTCCTTCAACCTGCTTGTTGTTCATGGCAGAGATGGCTTTGTTGGCATCGGCAATGGAGGTGTAGGTGACGAAGCCATAGCCACGGCAAGTCCCGTCGGTGTTCTTCTTCACGTCAACTCCAATGAGTTCGCCAAAAGGTTGGAAAAGATTTTGAAGCTGCTCAGTGGTGGCATCCTTCACCAAGTTGCGAACACAAAGCTGGATTCCGGGGAAGGTGCCCTGGCCCTTCTTGCCTCCGCCTTTGCCTTTCTCTCCCTTTGCGGCTTTCTTGGGGGCGGCGGCCTGGGCCTCTGGTGTGATAAGGCCAGGCTGCTGCGGAGGTCCAGGTTGTTGCGGCTTCTTCTTGGGCGCGCCTGCCTTGGCCAATGTCTTTGCCGCAGGCTTTGGCGCTGCCTTTCCCTTCGGCTGCGCTCCAGGCTGCAAAGGCCCTGCGGGTGGAGAGTTTGCAGAGGCTGTTGCTTTCTTGCCCTCTGCAGCCTTTGTATCCTTCTTACCTTCTGAGGTCGTAGGCTTCTCCTCCGCCTTCACGGCTTCAGACTTCTTGGCTTCAGCCTTCTTTGGTTCCTCTGCAGGTTGAGACTGTGCTTGCTGAGGTTCTTCAGCTTTTGGCACTTCCTCCACACGCCCGTCCTGACAGTGTGCAACCCGCATGGATGTGACAACACATTGCAGACTTTTGTTTTTGAGACTGCCTTCGCCGGTTCCTGAGCTTCCGCTGATTGCTGGCCGCCCATGTTGGAAAGGACCGGCCTGCCGGAAGCTTCCAAAGCAGCACATGTCTAAAGACAACCTAAATCGAGGAGCAAGAAACCCTTCGTAGCCACATGCCGAGGGGCAGAATGCGATTACCGCTCTCACCCTTCGCGTTGCTCGGGCGAACCCAAGGCACAAAGTGAGCTCAAGCAGCTGCGAAAGCCAAACCATGTTGAAACATAGCCGATGGCATGCAATCCTTTTCAGCAACACGGCAACAACGATAGACAGGCAACATCGGCCTGTAATATGCATTTCACCACTGCGGCCTGGCACGCGCTAGCCAAGCTGTGCCGTCCAACCACCGACTGGAACGCCTAAACACGCCAGCAATCACATGCTTTTGAGCCTTATCAAACCCGTCAAGAACCACGGGTCACCAATTTTGGGAAACGATCGTGGAGCTAATTCGCGACACGATCTGGTACTTGGGCATCTTGCGGTCATGCATTGTTCCAACCTCGAAACATGTGTCAAGCAAGTTGTGGTAAAATCGGTCGGCAAGTCGTGCGGTTCTTGGTAGAGCACAAAGTTACATCTTCGCCGGACACTTGCCTCTGGTTCACCCTGCTGCAATAGCGACTGTTGCATTGTACAGTTCCCACCTTTGTCGCAAAGCATGCAGATCCAGCTGCAAGTCCGAAAGCCCGTCACAAACTTCATGACCTGGATTTTGCGAGTGCTGGATGTAGCACGGTCCTGGTACTAAGGGTGTCACAAGCCGTGGTCATCTGAAGCGATGTTGAAACCTGAATCGAGCCAGCCATTTCAGCGTGCGACTACACATGGTCCCACGAAGCTGAGCTCGGAGCATTCGCGGTTGTATTTGTCGTGTCATTGCTTGCCATCGTGGGGGCCTGCGCGATGCGCGACATCGAGAATTGACCGGCCCACTGGCTGAGATTGTGGTACTGAGGAGAAAGCTGCCAACAACATCAGCCAACGTTTCTGGCGGGGCAACATTGCATGGGGAAACGAATTCGTGTCGAACAAGTTTCAATCGTGACCTCTGGCAGCCTTTTCGCTACAACTACGAACCCCTCCTGAATCTGGCACTGGACTCACGACTGCCACAACAAACAGACCTTTGAGCCATCAACTGTCAAGAACATATGTTTCAGCCGTTTTCTCCCTCGCATTTTTTGCACTCACTGCGCGGTGCGCTGCAACATGTCGCCTAGGAACGCACCCTGACGGGAATGAGCGACATGCACGTCCATGTTGGTCACAACCAACAGTGTTTGTTGTCTCGCACTTTCCTGCCTCTGCCGGAAAATGGTCGCCTATTTAATGTCCTATGCACGGAGTGGGTACTCGGCTCCACCGCATCGGCGATTTCCAGCACCAACTCGCTGCTTGCGACGGTGCCGGCCGGGCTCGTCCGGCTGCCGAAACCGCAATGGCCCCGCTGGGCGAGCGCAAGGACCTCGTTCAGAGCAGGCAGCCGGTCCTGTGCCCGCCCAGGCCCGCGTGCCTGTCACGGCCAGAGCACATCGCGATGCGCTATCGAGCAAGATGGCGGAGTCATTCCAGCGCCCACCGACCTCGCACCCAAGCATGGAACCGGAAGAGGGACTGCGCGGAGTATGCGGAGTTCGGTGGCCGCGACACGCAGGACGGCCCCATCAGCGCGGCGTGCATTGTTATCATGCCCAAACTTGTCGTGGCCCTGCTCCAACCGCACCGCGCGCGAGCTGATGGAGCAAAGCGGTGCGCACAGCGCCGCGG